ATGAGAGTATGCTAAAAAAGAACTAGTCTAGAGGAAAAAAGGGTAAGTGTACACATATATATATTCTTCATACATATATTTATATATATATATATATTCGTGATAGATACAATTTATTTATCATTATTCTTGATACATATATATACTAATATACTTTTTCTTTATCTCATATCTCAAATTGAAGACTCATTGGTTGAAGGAAAAAACCCTGGACACACACCATCTCAAAGCAATCCAAGAGACAATAGATGGATTTTTGAATGATCAGGTCTTAACTCCCGGCGGCGAGTTTTACTATGACCCAAATATGTGATGATGAAAGCCAAATTTCATATTGATCCAAAGAACATGTGATGATGAAATGTACAATTAATGCAAACTTTACATGTGACAATGAAATGTAATATTATGTTTTAGTTTACTTATACTTGTGTTGCTTGCGTGCATTGATCGAGCGAAAACTTTACAGTACGCGCGCGTATACATATATTACTTTGTAGCGAATAATGCGTATTCGAAAACCAAATTAAAACAAAAAAGAATCATCAATTGAAATAAGCAGGAAAAGAAGAAAAAGACCCTTTAGTCCCGGTCGGTAATACCAACCGGGAATAAAGGGGCTAGCCCAGGCGCTGGCGTGGCTACCTTTTTAGTCCCGGTTGGTATCACCAACCGGGACTAAAGGTCCACTTCTATTCCTGGCTACTAACCCTTTATTCCTGAACTCCTATTCCCAGCTACGTAACCAGGAATAAAGGGGGTTGGCAGCCGGGAATAGAAGCCCTTTTTTTACTAGTGCTTGCCCTTGTTCTTGTTCTTGAACTTGTCTTTCTTGGGCTTAGTGCATTGGTGTGCTAGATGACCAAGTTCACCACAATTGAAGCAATCTATCTCGGAGATTGGCTTCCTTCTTGAGCTAGTGAAGAACTTTTTCTTCTTGCCATCGAACTTGATGCCACTCTTGTTGAGCTTCTTTAGCATCTTGGCGGTCTTCTTCACCATGAGAGCAAGACTTACATCATCATCTTCTTCATCACTTGAGCTCTCATACTCAAGTCTTGCCTTGCCCTTCTCTTGGCTAGCTTTGAATGCTAAGTCTTTCTCTTTCTTCTTGGTAGAGGATGAGCCATCTTGTGGCGTGATGTGCATGTACATCTCATGAGCATTGATCTTCCCCAAGATTTGTGTCGGTGTAGTGGTGGAAAGATCACCTTGATGTAGCATGGTCACAATATGCCCATACTTGTCAATGGGGAGGACACTCAAGATCTTTCTCACAACGTCGGATGGTGACATTTGAGTAAGTCCAAGCCCATTGACTTCCTCTATAAGAACATTCAAACGCGAATACATTTTATTAGCACATTCTTTAGGAAGCATTTCAAAAGAGTTGAGCTTCTTCATGACAAGATGATAGCGTTCCTCACACTCACTCTTTGTTCCCTCATGGAGCGCACAAACGTCCGACCATAGTGCATGGGCGTCTTTGTGGTTCCTTACGTGGTTGAACACATCTTTGCAAAGGCCTCTAAAGATGATGTTTCGAGCCTTTGCATTCCACTTTTCATAATTAACCTCATCGCCTTGTAAGTGTGTAGCATCCCGAGGTTTTGGGAAGCCTTGTGAGGTGGCTCTAAGTATACCAACATCTAGAGCTTCTAAGTATGCCTCCATGTGAATTTTTCAATATGGAAAGTTATCTCCCTCAAAGATAGGAGGAGGTCCATACCCGTGAGACATCTTGCTCTAAGCGGTTAAGCTTAAAAACATGAGCACGAGGCTCCGATACCAATTGAAAGGATCAAGATGCCCAAGAGGGGGGTGTGAATTGGGCCAATTCTAAATTTTCTTGCAATAATTAAATCATATGGTTAGCCCAATTAACCCCTTGTGCCAAGAAAAGTGTTTCTATTAATCTAACGCACAAAGGACTTGCAACCTATGTTCCAAACTTACTCTAGCATGGCAATTCTAATGAATGTAAAAACAAGTATTGAATTGCTCAAAGTAAATGCTCAAAGTAAATGTTCAAAGTAAATAGAGAGAGGAACGCGGCGATGTTTTGCTGAGGTATCGGAGAGTCGCCACTCCCCACTAGTCCTCGTTGGAGCACCCGCGCAAGGGTGTAGCTCCCCCTTGATCCGTGCAAGGATTAAGTGCTCTCTACGGGTTGATTCTTCGACACTCCGTCGCGGTGAATCACCCACAACCGCTCACAACTTGAGTTGGGTCACCCACAAGCTCTCCGGATGATCACCAAACTCCCAATCACCACCAAGCCGTCTAGGTGATGGCGATCACCAAGAGTAACAAGCACGAACTCTCACTTGACCACGCGAAGCCTAATGAGAAGGGTGGATGCACACTATGCTACTCTTGATTCACTATTGAGGCTACTCTCTTGGATTCTCAAATCTCAATCACCTCACTAGGACCTTGCTCTTCTTTGCACTCACAAACATGTTTCTCAGCTGTTCAAATGAGCAAAAGTACCCCCACACACGAGTGGAGGTGGTATTTATAACATGGGCTAAAAAAACGAACCGTTATGTGCCTCTGTGGGGTGACCGGACGCTCCGGTCATGTTGACCGGAACACCAGTGTTTAAGTATTGACCGGACGTTGGGCAGGGTCCGGTCACCACTGACCGGACGCGTCCGGTCGCATTTTTTCCTCACTGGAACCTTACTGTACTCGACTGGACGCTGAACCCCTAGGGTCCGGTCAGTACTGACCGGACGCGTTCGGTCGCAGATTCTCTTCTCTGGAACCTTACTGGAGTCGACCGGACGTTGTCCATCAGCATCCGGTCACACCAGACTATTTCTCCTCGGTCAAATGAACTGACCGGACCCTGTGGCCAGCGTTCGGTCGCACCGGAGCCAGCGTCCGGTCAGTATTTGACCCTCCATTCACTTCCAACTCTCGATCATTTGTGAATGAAGTTTGCTCCATAGGATCTAAGGGATGTTTTGGAGCTACCTAGTGCTAGACTTAGCAAGTGTGCACCACACCTAACTCACTAGACTCACCTAGGTCAAGCTACCCGTCCATACCCCCCTTAATAGTATGGCCAAAGGAAAAACAAAGTCCTAAACTACTCTAAGTGTCTCTCCAACTCCAATCGACACTTAGAACTAGTCATCCTTAACCTTGTCGTCCATCCTTTGAAAACCGAAACGATTTCCATCGTAGGGGCATGACATCCATGATTGCCCAATCGATCTCTATTACCATGACCTAACTTAATTGCCTCTACAAAACACACGTTAGTCATAGTAATCTTGTATTGTCATTAATCACTGAAACCCAACTAGGGGCCTAGATGCTTTCATGCATGTTTATTCAAAAAAATATTTGGATTTTCTTTGAAAACCTATTTCTACAATTTTTATAACGTTGGCGATTTTAGGTCACCGGAACACTAGAGCTTGCCCCGAGGTCTGCACCTCCTCTAAGGCACAGTCTTATTAGTGCTTGGTGTGGTTTGACCGCCAGCCGTATGCAGAACGGGGTTTGTTTGTATGCGAGCACGTTTACTCTCCGGTGATGCACTGGAGTGTCGCTCCAGACAAGGATGTTTTGCATGTGTTTGAGGCTTTTGAGCACCAGAATTCGCCAATGGTACACCAGACTTTTGTGAGAATCTTTTAGCTACCCATTTTCTTACCTTTGGGAGATGGCGGTCGGACCGCCTTGGGGCGGTTGGACCACCAGTTTGCATCTCGTGGGAAGAAGAGGGATAACGACTAGTTTTGGTACTATCTATATAGAGGAGTGGTGCATTGTGGAGCTTCTCTTGGCCACTTGGAAAAGTTGTATAGTTGGTGAGAGCTCTATTTCTACTCCTCCACAAGAGTGCAACATTTGGACAGTGGAGAGATCGATTGAGTGGCATTAGGTAGTTGATTTGCAAGCGGGTTTGCTTGTCACTCTTGGAGCTTCTTTGACTCCTAGGCGACTTAGAGTTTGTGGCTCTATGGAAGCACCGTGTGGTGATTGTGTAGTTGCTTCGAAAATTGCTTTTGAAAGTGCATCCAAGTCCCCTAGTGGGTTTTGGTGGTTATATGACAAAACAATTAAAGAACTAATTAGTTTGGTGAGTGCTTGAATAGGTTCCATTGCTACTGAGCATATCCAACTAAAGTCATGTACTACATGAAGAAGAAGCAAGCATGATTGATAAGGCAAAGAGAGAAAGAGAATAATATAGTTTGATCTCAATAGTGGCTTTGCTTTGCATGGACAAGAAGAGATTGATAAGTTAATTGGTATTGATCAAGTATCGAAGAATGAGTCAAGAATGCATGAGTGTTGAAATTTCAAGATATATAATGGATATAAGATGATCTCAATATTGCTTTGATTGTATGGACAAAGACTTATAAAATCACTATGCATTAGTACTGATCAAGTTGGAAGAAGGAAACTATCAAGAGAGAAATGCTATTTATATGCAAATCCAACTTTATTCCTTGCTAATGTCAAATGCATACTCCTTTGTTTTTTTATATATATGACTAAGTCATGCGGAGTACATTTGCCAAATGTATACGTCTCTCCTCTGTTAATGATTAACATATGTGGTTGCCTAATTCTACTGTCTTTGTTAATGGTTTTCATATTTGAAATCTTTTGTTCCCACCATTATGTTTGAATCTTATTTTCGCGATTGTAAGCTTTTTAGAAACTAAATATGAGATACTTAGAACCACCAATGTTGGCCAACGGAATGCATATACAATATATAGATTACATGTCATCGTCATTGGAGCACGAACATTTTACAAACTAAACAAAGCTACTGACAAGATTTATGTGTCTCACCAACATTACAAAGCCATATGTAGTTCATGTGTCTAAAAAGGTCCAGCTTATCTCTTCATCTATTTTTGCTTTTCTTTGGATCAAATAAGAATACATCAAGTTCAATAATTTGATGAGCCATAGGCTCAGTCTTGCAACGTGAGTACCGAACTCCCCAGATGGCATTTTTCCCTCTAATAATAAAGAGCAGATGGTGATGGAGCAATTGAGGTGTCCTTGGATCTCTGGCTTATCCGGCTTAATATAAAGATGACTTCAAAACCTATAGAAACTAGGAAACTTGTAGCTCCAAAAAGTTGTAAATTGAGTACGGTAGCTTTGGCGAACGGATACTGTCGTTTGACGTCGACATGCCTTCTTCCTTTCCAGTGAAACCTCCAAATCGTGGGCAACCTCGTCGCATGCCCCAGCCACTGCGCGATGCATAATTGCAAGACAAGGATGCACGTGTATACACACACGAACCCGTAACTGAGTGCCCTTGTGGTCGCCACGGAGAGCAGAGCCGCCTGGAAGGCCAGCATCATGCAGACGAGCGACACCCACAAGAGCTGCAGCGCCACCGCGAAGCTCTTCCACGAGCGCGACGCCTTCCCATAGACGAGCAGGATCACCACCACGATGGACGTTACCACGGCCCCGGTGTTCAAGAGCAGGAAGCTCTTGAAGACAGCCTCGTCCTTGAGGTTCGCCTTGCCATCGTTGCCGTACCCACCGGGCAAGTTGAACCCGGCGGCGAACGCGGCGGCGATGATGAGGCCGGCCACCACCGCGAGGCTGTCCGACGTGTTCTGTATCCCCTTCTGCACCTTGTCGCGGCCAACCCACTGCTCCAGTTGGTCCTGCCTCTGCGGCCGGAGCTGTGCCCCGTAAGCGACTAGCGCGACCACCAGGCTTACCATTTTGAAGAAACTGGTGGTTGATCCGGCGGCGAGATCAAACGCTGTGTGACCATCGTTGTTCGGAACATTGGCCCGCACCTTGCCGTTGCGTAGCAGATCCTCCACGATGCCGGTCGATCCCGCTGCCACCGCGAGGTGGAGAGGCGTGTTCCCCTCCCTATCCTGCGCGTCCAGGAGGCCGCGCAGCATGGGATCCTTGGTGGCGAGAGACACCACCGAGGAGCGCTTCTCCCGGGCCGCGGCGTGGACGAAGGTCCCGCCATTGCCGTCACGGAGCTCGGCGGCGTCGGGGCAGCTCCTTAGCATGTTCTTCACGACGCGGTGGTGTCCCATCCGCGCCGCGACGTGGAGAGCCGACAGGCCGCTCGAGTCCTTCTTGTACACCGTTCCCGGCGGCCCGGCGCGCAGGATTGCACGCACGATGCTGCGATCGCCGTCCGACGACGCGAAATGGAGCGGGCTGCTGCCGCTGCAGTCGACTTGGTCGGCGAGAGCTGGCCTCCATTCCAGTAGCAGGTGAACCATTTCTGCAGGCAACGCAAATGATCAACACATTAGTTCACTGCATTATTTTTTTCTTCCAGTAATACCATTAAGAATCCAACAAGCAACTAACCTGAGCTCTGGAAAACGGCAGCGTGCAGAGCATTCTGTGCGCTTGGCCCCATCGATGACGCGTCCTTGCACTTGGTAATAATCGCTCTGACTGCTGACACCGAGCCGCTAATTACAGCCAAGTACAACGGCGACACGCCGGCGTTGTTCAGCTCGGCCGCCGGTTGTGCCGCCGCCGAGACCAGCACCTCCACCGCCGCGCCGTGCCCGTGCCTCGACGCCAGGTGCAGGGCCGTGTCGCCTGCCTCGTTCTTGCATCCCAGAATGTTCTCGCCCCGGTCCCTGGCCAGCTCGACGAGGACCGCGACTGCCCTGGCGTGCCCAGCCCTCGCCGCGCAATGCATCGGCGTGTCCAGCGCCGAGTTCTGGCGAGAGAGGAGGCCCTGGTCCCTGAACCTGAGGTAGAGCTCCCGGATCAGCTCATGGTGCCCTTGCTCCGCAGCCACGTGTAGAGCGGTGTTCCTCTCCGCAGTCAACTCAAGTATGTCGCACTGACCGTGCATAACAACGCCTGAAATGGGTATTCAGGAAATTAGTACAATAACCTAATTCGTGTGTCAATTGACGAGTTCAATTGGAGCCAAATTCTTCGGATAGGTTAGGGACCGGGATTTTCGAGAGAGGAGTAAAGATGACAACGGCCCCCCGATGTCTGATACCCGACGGGTATTTGATACATTAGAAGATGGGGATGGGATCATATTTTTACCCGCAGACATCTAAATGGGCAAGAATTCATCCCCGACGGGTATAGCGGGTACGGGAACGTTCCCTGTTTACCCGTCCCCATTACCCGTTGGGGAACCCGACTATTTGAACTGTCATGCGTGTATTAGGCCCAAAGAAGCTCAACATAGGTATTTTGGTCTAAATCTGAACAATCATATATATAGTTTGTGCGTTCTAGAAACCCTAGTTCAATTTTTTCTCACCATCTCCGCCAGCAGCACAAGCACGCCTGCCTCACGAGCGCTCGTGCCCCTCGCTTCCTCAGTTCGGTCTCTCTGCCACCTTTGCTCGTCCTCCTCGCTTCTTCTCCTCGGCATCTCCGAGACTCCGACACTTATACCCGGGTGAAGAAAAAACGTCTCCGATTGCAAAGCTGCGACCCCAAGTGTCCTTGTTTATCGGGTATCTGTTACCCGACCGATGCCCGACGGATACGGGGATGGACAAAAATCTATACCCGAGACAGTTAACGGGGACGGGGACGGGATGAATTCTCCATAGTGGGGAAGAGAACGTTCCGACAATACCCGGCGGATACATCCCCGTTGCTATCCATAGAGAGGAGCCTTCAAATCAGACTTCCTACTTTTTGATTTGAGGGCCTGGCATGGTTTTTTTTTATTTGTCATAGGAGCTCTCAAATCTATTCTCAAATCTATTCTCAAATCTATTCTAATAGACACTGGCACATGGGGAGGAGAATAATGCGGGGGAGGGATCCGACAATGTCTATACATAGAAAGGGAGTCACTGGGGAGTAGGCTGGGGAGAGGCACGCCATTAGCGGAACCGAAGGGGAGGACGACAATAGGAAAGTAGGAGAAGTAGTCACTGGGGTAGGCCACACAGAGCTTTGGGTGGGTGAGAGGGACGTAAGAATCAGTGGACCCAACAAGAGGAGTGTTAGGAAGTGTAGCGAGCGTTCGAGCGAGTTTAGTTTCAGATAAGTCGGGGAGATAAACGACTGAAACCGGAAAATATGGGCCTCATCTGATTCCCCAAAATAAGGTCTGATCCCGTGCAGAGAATTTAAGAGCCTTTTTATTTTTATGGGGTCTAAATAGGAGCCCTGCTCAACCTAATTTTTTTATAATTTAGTCTTTTTTTTAAGAAAATTTACGTTTGGTTTACTGTTAGAAGTAAACTCATTTTTGGATCCTGAGGTCGGCGTCAGGACTCATGATGCCAAAGTAACACATCTCGACGTCTCAAATCTTAGCGCTGAGATGCCTGTTCGAGATCCTAAATGATGTTAACATGGTCAGTACCTCGACGTCATAGTACGTAATGCTGAGGTCGACGCCCCAGATGGCGCCACGAACTCTGCCGCCGAGCAAGGATAATCAACATAAACTTCTCGTCGTCTGCTGCGTCTGCCACTTTGTCAGCTTTTAATTCAAAAGCTGGCGTGTAGTGTCCGGCAGCAGTAGCGCCCATGCTTTAGGCCTTGTTTAGATCATCTCCAAATTCTAAGTTTTTTCACTCTCTCTCTCTCACATTAATTTTTGGACGCATGCATGGAGCATTAAATGTAGGTAAAAAAATAACTAATTACCCAGTTTAGTTGTAAATCATGAGATGAATCTTTTTACAAAAATTTGCAATATAAACCAGGCCTTAATTCAAAAGCTTTGTCTGCGGCGTCTGCCACTCTGTCTCGGTACCCGTGCGTATCCCACTGCTTTGCATTGGTGCATTATCTCTCGGATATGCTACGTAGGAGTTCAAGTTTCAATACGCCAGCTACCAGCGTGATCGGCTGGGGCTGGCTGGACTGGTTGACCAGCCCCTTATATGACATTATTTATATAAATTATATAAACGAATCAACAATAATACGAATCAGTCAATCGAATAGACTTAATAAACCTGGCTTTTGCATATACGGTGTATATACTCCTCCCACACGGCTTGTACTTGTACTATAGCAGCATCACTGGCGAGAGAATCACGAGATGTGAAAGCAAGCAAGCAGCAGCGACGGGGCCAATGAAAGCTTGTACTGATGCGCTGACGTGGTTTTCGCAGGTGGGGCTTGGCCTGGTACGTTCGCTTGTTCGCTGGTTATGCCGTACCGTTTCAACCGACGAACGATATTTTTTTCTCACCATAAATCAACTAACCGTATAGCTTATGAGTCTAGCGAACAGTCAACTACGATTGAAACAGTAAACGTACGTATGTTTACCGCGGTGCTATAGGAGTGACGTGACAGGAACAGTGGTGCCTTTTTCCTCTTTTTACCACAGGTGAGCGATGAACGATGACGCAGTGCACCGCGTGCTCCGTGTGGGAAGAGGGCCTGGGGCAGCAGGAAAGCAGGGAAACACTGTGCTGTCATAAATGCTCGTTCTCCCTCCGGCCGGCCCTCCGCTAAAGAAGCGATTGCAGTGGTGCCCCACCTCACTGCCCCCAAGGCCCAGGCGCACAGCCCTTCGCTCTGCCCTGGGATCTGACCTGCGCCGGTGGTGGTGCAATGTTCCTGCTACAGTGCTACTAGTAGTACACATACTGTGCAAACGTGCAGGCAGGCGGGGGACGGGGGCGGGGCGGATCCTCTGCGGCATGTACGTCCCCGTGCTCCGACATCGAATCGTCCTCTTTAATCAACCGCAGGAAGCAAAGCATGGGCGCTGCTGCTGCCGGACACTCACAGAAGAAGGGCACTGCTACACGCTAATTTTTGAATTAAAAACCTGGCAGACGTCGCGGACGACGAGAAGCTTCTGTTGATTATCCATGCTCGGCGCCAGGGTTCAGGGTTCGTGGCGCCAAGATCGGTGTTAAGATATGTGACGTCGACCTCGGCGCCATAATACATGGTGCCGAGGTATCGACCATGTCAATGTCACCTAAGATCTCGGCTAGGCATCTCGGTGGCAAGATCTGTAACGTCGAGACGTATTACTTTGATGCTATGGGTTCTGACGTCGACCCCATGGTCTAAAGATGAGCTTACTTCTTCCAGGAGGACAAACATAAATTTTCTTAAAAAAAAAACTAAATCGTAAAAAATTAGGCTTGCTCAACCTGTGTTTTTCACCTGAGCTTTCAAAATATTGTTTATGAGCCTGTACGAGGAGCTACTAGAGTTAGGGCCTGTTTGGTTCACCTATTAGCTTCTAAATTTAATAGTTTTTAGTTATTTTAGTAACTTTTTAACCAAACGCTATGACTAAAAGGATTTTAGTCCTCTCTAGTAACTCTAGAGTTACTAAAAATAACTAAACCATTTAGTAGCTACTAAAGTTTAGTAGCTCGAACCAAACACTCCTTTACTCTTATTTGCTATTTCACTACAGCTCATCAAACAACTATAGCAGAAGCTTGCCGGTGCCTTAGTATTCAGCTCTTTCTTCCCCGTCTCATCTTTCACCCTTATTTGCTCCTAAGCCACCTACCGCACAACTACGTGCTTTTTATTTTTGTGAGAATTATACAATTCTTTCCTTTAGTGCGTTATAGCTAGATGATGATTATCATGGTTGCTCCAAAATGAGTCTCCAAAAGTAATATTAAGATTAATAATAACAGTCATTTTGCCTTGGTGCTTTTATTTTTTTGGAAAACTTAAAATAAATAAAAAGGTTAAGATATAGAAAGATTTGAAATTTGCACAGTAGGTTGATGCAATTTATTTGTTCTCACCTAAAATTATAGATTTCTTTTATTTTAAAGAAAGGTGGTGTGTCCCGTATTTTTGTGGTAGTTGTGTCGCCGTGAAATCAGTTGTTGTAAGTACAAGTGTTCCAATAGAAGGCATCATCACGGGGACATGCTTGGAAGTCTCTTTGACGTTGCTTACCCATAAGAAGCCATCTACATTTGATTTGAATATTGACCGTTCAAACAGTTAATAAAGGTCATGTTCGCTGGCTTGAATTTTATCTGAAACTGGATGAAAAATACTGTTCCGGCTGGATTATTATGAAAAAATATTGTTTCGGCTAAAAAAACAAACCGAACAAGTCGAATATGAGATAAACCGAACAGGGCAAAGTCGCCACACGGGTATAGTTGACCAAAAGGCCCGCGGGCTGATGGTCCGGCCATGGCACATGATTCTGGCTCGGCCTAGGTATGGCACGGTCTGAGCTAGGGCATGTTTGGTTTCAAATAAGTCATCTACTTATAAGTTAAAAAAAGAAAAAATGACTTATTTTGTCAAACACCATCAACTTATAAGTCACTCCTACTTATAAGTTTTAAGTTGGTTCACCCCTGCTTAAAACTTATAAGTCACCCTTTTTCGCGTGAGGCCCACACTTTTAATGAGCTTATAAATCATCTATAACCAAACATACCTGACTTATAAATCACTAGTTTTCAGTAATCTAACTTAATAAATCACCTGACTTATGAAAAACAAACAGCCCCTTTTCTTGGCCTAGCATCGAGTCGTGCCGTGCCGGCCTGAACCCCATCGAGTCGTGCCCTCCGTGGGCCCGTACTATGTCACGCCGAGCAACGCATTTAATTTGGTCATTTATACATGGGTGTCGTACCATGCACTACATGCAGTATTTACCGACACAGGTACGTGGCTAGAAAAATCTGCTTGGACCAAACAACACTCAAGCATCCAGTTTTGGATGTCTGGGTCGGTATTTCTTGCCTAGCAAGGCAATGCCTGTCACATTTCCATATAAACAAGCGGCCTGTTCGTTTGAACTTGTTTAGCTGATAAGCCATGGTTGAAAGTACTATTGGCTAATTTAGTGTGAGAGAAAAATACTGTTCGTTGACTGACAAAATACGACTTATAAGCCAAACAAGTGCAAAGGGCCAAGCCTAGATTCTATAGATTGTGCATAGGTGAATAGTCAACGATGTGACAATAATGTCCTCCAAACAACTTCTCCAAATTTTGGCTAGCGAGAACTACTCCGTGCTTGTTTCGCTGAAATTTGACTTATACTGATGCTTATGTTAATTTATTAGTACATTAAAAAAGCCAAAAATATCTTATAATTTGCAATGATAGGCGTAATATTTAGCTGCTAAAAATTAGTAAGATTTTGTTTGAATTCTCTCAACCAATATGTCAGGCCAGTGTGACTCCAATGTAAACGGATGTGTGAGCACTAGTCGCTTTAGAACACCCAAATCTTAATTTGTTACCTTTCCTTCTATGCCAACCTACCATTCATTAATGTATTATTCCCTTTGTTATGAAATATTAGGGATTCAACGTTCAAAATTTGTACCAAATATATGGTATTCTAGGTCTCAATCATCCTCCCTTCTATCCTTTGTCTTTTTACCAAAAAAAAAATTGAGTCTTTTAAACTTAACATCACCTAAAATAACCAGCTAGTTATTATTGGCCAGGACTCAAATTCAAATATTAATTCTTGGAGCCAAATGAAGAATTTGGAAGCAGAAAGAAAAGAAAAAAAAGGTTTATGTCAGTTTCGTTAGTTACCAGTGGCTTGACAGTCTATCGCAGCGGCGTGTTGTTGCAGAAGCAGCGCCGTGACCTCGGCCATCCTCCCTTTGTAGACGGCGAGATAGAGAGAAGGGCACATGTTGCCGACGACCATGCGCTCATGGTCACATTGCGGCGGCTGCTGCATCGGCGGCGGCGTTGCCTTTGCAGGCGAGCCGGCAGGCGAAGCACCGGCGGCAAGCTGGATGGACTGCTGCTGAGGATCCATCCGGCCTGTGAAAGCGGTTTGCAGCTCGCTGCGCCAGGCGAGAGTGGAAAGCATAAATATATAATAGCGTAATTAATGTGACATTTTGAGATGGAGCATTATATGTGCATATATAAATCTCAATAGGAACCAATAAACAACCTTAAAAGAAAGTGAAGGAACATTGTATATATATATATAGCTTTCATGGTGACTAGGAAGCGTGTCAAGCGTAATATCACTGGACGGTCACATGAAACCTTAGATTCATTCATGGGTGCTGCGCGACCGCCCAAGTCCGTCGCCGTCGCCTGTGTATCCGTTTTTAGTTTTGTTTTTTTTTCCTTACCCGATCCTGTTTCTACTAAAAAATATAGAACAGAAATGCTATACAATATACGTGTGTTTTAACAAAAAAAAACATATGAAATTTTTAGCAAAAAAAAAAAAACACACGGCGAGAGCACGTGACAGTGCAGCTGCACTAGCAGTGCGCTTTCTGTACTAGCAGTGCGGCACCAACGGCGCGGCACCACCAGACGAACGGGTAGGCAAATCGCTCTGTAATTTGTCTTTTCATAAATAAAATGTTTTCTGTGATATGTGATATGTGATATATGATCTGTAGATCTGTGATTTTGTGATTGTCTGAAGGTAGAAGAAAGCTATAGATAGAAAAAGGATGAAGACGGTTGGATCTTAATCTTATGGTAAAAAAAATTATGCGCATAAAACATATCGTTATCCAGTAGATAGACTCAATACAGAAACAGGAACGGGAGAGGTACCCGTCCGTTTTGATGCCTAGCCAGCCGCTCAAAGACCCTGGCCAAACCAGAGCTGACCACCTGGCCCCAGCCCGCCGACGTGGTGCCCCACCAGTGGCCAGTCAACCTCCCACCTGGACCCCGCGTGGACCCAACCAGCGTCGCGTCTTGACCACCCGCGTCCGTCCCCTTGCCGGCGCGAACGGGAGAAATCTCCCGCGCGTGCCTCTTCCCTGCCCTGCTGCAGCTTGGCCCCATCTCCCTCCGTTTCCCGTGCATAGATGGGAATGCCCAGCCGCGTGGATCCCGCTTTGACCGCGGCGTGACCGACCAAAGCCTGCTGTGCCGGCTCCCCTTCGCACCGAACCCCGTGCCCGTGCCCGGTTTGCGAAACCCATCGTCGCCGCCCGCGGTTTCGGCTAAACCGCTCGGCCCTGCCTGTCCTCGCTTGTCCCTGCCGCCTTCCCTCTGAGACCGAGCACGCGCGCGCGAATTGGAAATTTGCCGGCCCCACCGCTTCGCACCTGCAGCCAACCTACCCACTGAGACCGACAAAAGGGCCCCACTGCCAGATGGCGCTCAGGCACTGGCCAGTCAACCTTCAAGAGGTCCCCACAGCCGCTTGACCCAGCGCCGTCCCAATTTTCCCGCGCGCGAGGACGCGTTTGGGGAGAATTGGCGCTGGTTGCCGACCGAACCTACTGCATCGGCCCCACCTCATCTCGTCTCGTGTGCGTGGTATGGAAAACAACCGGCGCCGCGCCCTGGGTTTGGCGAATCCGCCGTCGCGTGGCGTGCGGCCAGTGGCCATCTCCCTTACCGCCACACACACGGCCACAGAGACGGCAGCCACACCTGCTTCCACTCTGATCCCATGCGAATTGGGAGACCAGCGCCGCGCCGCCCGTCGTGGACGCACGCGTCCGCGCACGCGAGCCAGCGACGTGCACACGGATCGATCCCAGCCTTGGCACATTTGTGCTTCTTCACAGTGCATGACATCCCATCCCCACACGACGTCAGCACGCGCACCGGACCGAGACCAGGTGGTCGTCATTCACTATTGCCTAATTTATGTGTCGACATTGACAGGTGGCGGGGCCCATTACCTAGTCCTCATTCAATTACGTTCCGAAAATAATGCATTTCAGATGTCCAGGTCACCGGTTGCATAGTCAAAATTAGTTATTTTAGGCAGATAGATTTGTTCCCTTCGTCCTAAAATACAAGCCATTCAAACATACTAAATTTATCCTCAAATATAAGACATTCTATTATATTAAATTAATTATTCATTTAATTCTCCTCAGTTGGTATGATCAATTTAGTTGATTAGGAGATTAGTTGAAGTGAGCTCCTTGTTATCCGCAACTGTAATTAAAACAACCAATCAACACAGCTCTCCAGGTTATAACGAAGGTCATTCTCAGCGGAAGTTTTATGGGCAATAAATAAGGTGTCATATCACTAGTTTTGGTGACGTGGCAAAAGGAATTTTAATGAGGTGAGAGGTGAAATGAGTTTTACGGGATAAAACCACGTGTACATTGTTTTCAAGATAGTTTAGGGCAGTCTCAGTAAAAGAAACTAGTAGTTTCTATAACCTAGGATACCGCACAAAAAAAAATACTGTTTTTTAACCCATGGTTTTTATAAGTAATAATTATTTTCTCTTTCTCTCTCTCAACTCTATTTTTTTTCTCCAATGAGAGTGCGACACGAGCCCCTTAGAAACTGGTGGTTTCTCTCCAATAGCGATTTCATGGTTTCTTGGTGCATTGGGTCAAGAGTAGACCTGATTTCTTCATGAGGAAATCATTTCTATGATTTTTGCTCTCTTTCTTCATTAATTACGTTGCCATGTCAGCGTTTTGCCTACGTGGCAAGTCATTTAATGAGGATAGAAACCATCATCAATACACTATTGGGACTTGCCCTTAGCAGGTTCGTTTAGTCGTATTTGGTTTATAAGCCATGGCTTATTAGCCAATGAATAGTATTTTTCTCTCGTACTAACCCAGCCAACAGTACTTTCAGCCATGGCTTATAAGCCAAACAAGCCCAAATGAATATGGCGTTTGTGTTTTGCATGTAGCCTAAAAAACAATAAAAAAATGAAACTATGCATTGTATAGAAGTATTTCAACTATGAATTAAATGCTCTCTTGCTTATGTGGCATTATTGAAAACACCAATATGAAACTCTCTGTTGAAAATAGCCTAAAGGGCATAATTTAATTTCAAAACTCATTGATAGTTGGTATCCATGTTCAAAAAAAATCTTAGGTGGCATGCTAATTAATGATAATGAAACTTTATGAAACTCTCCATTGAGAATAGCATTAGTCCAGTAGGAGTTTCATGGGCATCAAATGAGGTGTCCTATCAGCATTTTTTGTGATGTGCCAAAGAATTAACGAGGAGAGAGATGAAATGGGTTTCATGGGGATAAAATCATGTGTACCTTATTTCCAAGATGGTTTATGTCTTGTATGTGGCTAAGAAACAACAAGAATATGAAACTATGCATTGTATGGAGGTATTTTAACTATGAATTAAATGACATTTTACTTAGTGGCATTCTTGAAGACATCGACATGAAATCCTCCATCGAGAATGGCCTTATCAACGAGAGAATAGCGTATCTTTTTAATACTGTGCCAAAATTTAAAACTACAACGGTTGCGAAACTGAGGGAATAGTAGTGGTGATGTGGAGTGTGTGTTTCTGTTGTAGTTTTAGGCACATTAAATAGCTGTCTCCTAAGATTTTTTTGATGATATGATAAGAAAATAAAGAAGAGAGTACATGGTTTTTAACTTTTGATGAGTTATAGAATTAAATGTTATGAGAGCCTATGAAACAACAAAGATGAAACAATGCATCATAATTTCATCCTTATTGTTGATGTGGCATCTTGGAAACAACGATACGGACTGGCCTGACACAACCAATACTTTACCCAAAAAAAATATAATTAATACTGGTTTGATCCCTCAACTTCAATAAGAATAGTTTTGGGTGTGACCTATATATTGTAAGATGTGATGGAATGTAGCTAGAAGCAAAATAAACCCATATATAACAATTCGTTCCCAGTTTAGGCATCACAAACCATTTTGACTGAAATATAAATATTTCGGAACCCATTAAAACCGCACAAATTCCACCGAAATTTCAAAAAGAAAAATGAAAAAAAATGAGAACCCTGGCTTCTTCTATCCTCCCTCCCATGGGGGGTAGTTGTCCAAGTTCCAACCACACCTCTGCAACTCAGCCGCGCAGGCGCAGCATGATGAACTCTGCTCTTCTTGTCAATAGGCTCGTCACATTCACATCCCACGAAATTGTATTACGGGCTTTGTTTAGTTCCGGATCTGGGAGTGGCCAAATAATTAATGCGTTACTGTAGCGTTTCGTTTGTATTTATAAATTATTGTCTAAACATTGACTAATTAAGCTCAAAAGATTCTGACTCGTAAAGTATAATCAAACTGTATAATTAGTTTTTAATTTCGTCTATATTTAGTACTTTATGTATGTACCATAAGTTTGATGTGACGAAGAATCTTTATTTTATATAGTATATTTTTCAGGAGTACGCACGGTCGCAAACGGACAACAGCTCTCTTACTGCCAACAATGACTACGCCCACCACAATTTCAGACGAATCCACATACCTCGAAAGTATCGATCCAGGAAAGGCTCGACGCATTGCCCAGTGATCCGGTGACCATCAGCATGTTCGTTTGCTCGTAAATGATCGTAAATTTTCAGCTAAAAATAATGTTTTTCTCTTATATTAAACTAGCCAGCAGTAAATAATCCACGATACGATACGGCCTCTCGAAGAGGCTGCATATTCCGGTGGGTTCCTGCCCACGTCCGTGAGGCTAATAAGCAGCTGTACGAGCCTAGGATGGTGTCCATCGGCCCATACTAACGTGGCCGAGAAGAACTCCGCGCCATGGAGCAGCACAAATTGAGGTATCTCCGTGATTTCCTTGAGCGCAGGATGGAGGAGACAGTAACACCAGCCCCTTTGTCTTCCTACGTCGAGGCAATTCGGAAGGATGAACAACGCGCACGGCATAGCTACTACGAGCGGACCACACTCTTCGACATCAAGAAAGAAGCACCTGTGCAGTCGGGCAGCAGTGAGATTGCGAAACCAAGTGAAGAAACCCAAGATGGATTTGCAGAGATGTTTTGCTGCTGGACGGCTGTTTCATCCTCGAGTTCATGTTCAAATG